AAATTAATTTCTAATTTAAATAAAAGATAGAGAATACAGCTTTAGCTAATATTCAATTAAAAGATTAAAGAATAAACAATTATAAATTTAAAAAATTTGTATATGCATGAAAATAAACCAGATTTGAATGATAAAAAACCAAGCCAAAATGTTATTAAAAGTAAAACATACTTGTATTCGCTTAGTTTATCTATATATATTTGTATATGTGGACATATTCTAGAATAATACGAACATATTTTGAGCAACAAATGCTGTGAAGTTCATTCAGTTCTAATTAAATATTTCTGTTGATTTGTGATTTCTGTTTTAGGTGGCTAAACAAATAGTTGGAATAATGAATAAGTAGAGTAAGTAGAAGTAAAGCCCGTAATAGCAACCACTATATGGTTCGTCACTTATGCTCTGACCACCATAATCAGCCTGCAGGCAATACACATACACGCACACACACACACTCGTATATCATTCGTATGAAAGCAACATATGTCCACAAAGTGGTAGGTACAAGCGAATGGAAGGGGAGCTTCGGCTGAGGGTGAGCGTGAGGAGGCGTAGGCATTCATACGAGTGTGATATATATTTTGATCAAACAAATGTGTAAAAGTCACTGTGAGGTCGACGGAACAAATCGAGGCTCGTTAATAGGAAACAATTACAGAACTGGTCGAGGACGAGGGTTAAATAGTTATTGGTCACGACAGGCGGGCCAGGAATGTGGCTCACGTTTCTGCTAATATGCGAAATGAAAAGTTGAGTTTTAAATCATTTATCTTGTTTTTTTCCATTACTCTCTGATAGTAGAGGACGCAGAAAAAATACAAAGTGACAGAGGCACGAGAGAAGAAATGATGCCGCCAAATGAAATTGGCAAGAGGCGCATGTCGTGAATGCCAAATGAGCTGTGACACTGACACCTTCTGCGACAGGACCTTTTCGTGTTCGTGGTGTGACAACCCTTTCGCCTCGCCCTATACAAATTGAGCCCGCTTTTTGAGTGTACTTTTCGCATTTTTTAACTTAAATTGCGGCCATGATTAATTCACACGCAACTGGGAAAAGCCCAGGCACTGACTGGACCCTGCTCCAACCTCAACTCTTCAACTACTTGACTTAAGTTACTTTTCCCATCTGACAAATTGTGTTTGAAATTAAAAAAAAAAAACAAAAAAATAAGGAAAGGCTTTGCTCAAATAAAAAATATTTTAAATTAGCTGAAATTAGTTCCTCCAACAGCTCCAATTTCACTTGCACTTTCAATTTCCCTTTCAATTAGATAATTGAAATTTCACATAATTATATACACTTTTATTTTTCTGCACATCTGAGCTAGATCATATATCATGGCACGTGACCCAGTCAAAAATCGCATTGATTGATGTTTTTTGCAAGTCTTTTTTTTTTATTTTTTTTTCGCAATTGCAAATCAATCACTTTTCGCGAATTTGAGCTGAACATGACTTTTAAATCAATTACAAACGGGAGTTGATAATCGCAATTGAAAGTTGCCAACTTGAACTTGGAGCATATCAAATATGGAAAAACATTTTATTTTTTAACTGAATTTGAAACTGATCTATATGCTACTAGACTTATGTCTACCTATATTATTGGAGTTTAAAATTTGGTGGGAATTCACAAGAAACACACATATCTGGTCGGTATTCTGATATAATAGATCTCGTAAACAACTCCAGCTTACACACACTGCTCAAAAAACGAAGTAAAACTTTTGTAGTCGAGCTGCATAATACACAAAAAAATAAATAAAAGTTACAAAATTATAAAAATATTTGAATATTTAGATTGTGAATTAATAAAATTATAAATAATCAAATATGAAATAAATAATAGTTTAATCAAATTTTAACATAATAGAATAAATAATATATTAATAAAAAAAAATAATAATATTAAAATAATAAAATTATGAATTAATAACATATTAAAATAATAAAATGGGAAATCTGATGTTAAGGACTAGAGTTACTATCACATGTTAAATGTTTAAAAATAGATATTGAAAACAACAAATTTTAAGAGTTATTAAACCTTTGACACATAACGTAACGTTACTCACCTGCAATGCACCTTGGGTCACTTCTCATTTTTTAGCATATAAAGCCTTAACTGCAACAGCCATTGTCAGCTAAGTGAAAGAGTCTGTCAAGAGGCTAATTTAGAGCGATTAGAATATGAATCGCATTAAGTGCTAGACGATATATATATCCAGTGCTGGCTCGCCCTGCGAAGACGACGCAGCGAAGAATACAGCGAATACATTAAAATGATAAATGAGTGCGATTATATTCGTATTACCTACAAATTAATATTGTGGCCATAATCAGCTCTGGCGCCGCGCCCTGGTTAGCCGAACCGAACGGAGCCGGCGGGTCAGCGATTTATTGGCCAGCAGACGAATTACAGGGCAGCGGGGCATGAAGGACGCCCGGCCAAAATCAAACATAATCAAGCGAATTGGGTTCAGTTCGAGTTTCGTTTACACGTCCACACCCACGAGCCGGGCAACGAGTTGTCGCCAGTGTCAGTGTCAGTGGGTTGGTTAAAAATAATCCGAGCGTTACGTGTTCCCGTTTTTTTACCAAGGACAACGACGGACTGCAATACACACCAAGTACATACGGTTACGAGCAGCGGGTAAACATCGTTTGTCAAGAGTTTTGACTGCTCCACTTGGACTCGAACATTTCATATAGCCCGCCTCTCGGGGGCCATACTTTCCCTCTGCCCCTCCTCCTCCCCCTGCCTCTCTCTCTGGCATAACTGGCTACAAAATATTTGTTGACATTCCCCAGGAAAATTACCATAATTAGTTGATTCGAAATAGACCAGAAACAGGAAATTTCTATCCTTCGGTGTTTGATCAGCGCCCTTGCCTCAATGGGGGTGTGCGGCTCTCCGTGCTCTGTGTGTGTGTCCAGGTCACGGCATCGATGTCAACATAATGCGGAAAGGCACTGCCCACAACTAAAAGGATCATAATTAGAGCATATGTACGGATTGTTGGCAAATATTGACGTTCATTCCGCTAGCATAGTGTAAGCCCTTCCACCTCGTTCGCCTCTCTCCATATCTCACGCCACATTCATCAGCTTTTGCTATCGATATGCACACGTAAAGCCACTAACACATCTAGGTGGAAGTATTTAAATATATATATATTCTAAATATAGACATGTATATATATATATATATATATATATATATAATATATATATATATATATATTAAGGAACGGATAGCTTAAAATATGAACTAGGAGTTTTCTACTCAAAGGTTTCTAAAAGAAACTTTATAAGGACTTTTCTTTGTCATTTAATATATTTTTAGAAGTCTTTCAAAGATCCACGCCAAGACTTTTCTCTGGGATTCTTATGATCGTATGATCTTATATTCGTATAAGATCATCTATATATATAGATATATATATATATATCGTAATACCTTAGTGTATACTGGAATGAAATTCTGTATTCCTAGGATCGCGTTTCTATATAGTAAAATGTCTTTTATTGCCGTACTCTAAGATTCTCAACAATTTCTCTGAGCAAACTAAAAACTTTTTATATGCTCTCTAATTAACTAATTAACTTTTCTCTGCCTGCCTTTATTTTTGTTTCTATATTTATCTCATTCCCTACCTCTTCCTCTCTTTTTATCTCTCCGTGTCACCTAATATCTCTCTCTCTCCCTCTCTATCTCTGTCTTGGACTCTGTCTCTTTCTTTTCTTTCTACCTCTCCATGTTAACCAATATATATCAATATAAATTAATTTTTTTTTGGTAATTCTCATACTTATAAAGAAATTATATCGTTTATATCTCTTATGAAGCCATCTGTAATAAAAACGGCTAAAAGTCCATATTAAATGACTTTATGTAAACTTCTCAGTCTTAACTATAAACCACTAATTGCTATCAGAATTGCTTGGCTCCTGCCAGCTATTAGCAACCAACGCCCAAGCGAGGGATTAGGACAGCTAAATGACTTTAAATTAAGTCGATGTGCGTCTGTCGATTTAATTAAAATCAAAACAAAATCTTTGCCCGTCTTTCCTGTCTCCTGTTCCGGCTTTGGCAGCGACTCTCACTGACTGGGATCATAATAAACGCATAAATAATGCAAAACAATAAATGAACAAATATTCATAAATTATTAACGCAGGCGCCGACTCCTGGCGACTCCTGCAGGGGCTGACAAAAGGCAGTGCATAAAATACCCAAAATATTTTGCCAAAGCATTTAAAAGGACAATGAGGCACGCACCCAGATGACAGGACGAAGGAAGAAAACCAAATCCCCGCAACAAATAATTGAGCCTCATAAAGAAATATCATTCATTGATTTTCCTCTACCCATGAGTAGCCCTCTCTCTCACACACACACGTAGACGCGCACTGTCGGCACTGCAGCAAGTGGATGAAGCTGTGGACGAAACGAAATGGGGACAGCTGATGAAACTATCACCACGTCGAGGGGTTGTTTTTGCGGTGGCCAGCTTGATTTTCACATGAATTCGAAATCTATGCCTCGGCATGATTTGCACAAAAACTTGAGCGGGCAAATTTGTCAAGAGCGAGAGACAGAGCGAGAGAGAGAAAGAGAAAGAGAGAAAGTGAGAGAGAGAGAGAGGGAGATGGAGATAACTGGAATGGACGTGAGTCAAGTTTGAAGGAAATGTGAAGCAGAGAAAAATGATAAATTATTGGTGGATTTTGTTAATTTGCTGACATTAATGCCCCGGCCAGATTATCATCGTGTGTTGTCTTCGGTCACAACAGAGGGAAATTGTTATCTATATTATTATGAAATATGCCGTATGCATATAGAGATATCCATTACAAAGTAGAATAAAGAAATGATTTTGAACTCAGTAATATCAAAAAGTAAATCAGTTAGTTGAAGCAACATTCTAGTTTACTTTCATTAATAATATTTAACTAACAGAAGCTATACAAGTTTTGAATCATATAACATTTAAGAGAACCAATATATTGAGGTCTAATACGCTTATCAAAATGCTTTAACATTTTTAATAATAACTATTAAATTATGTAGCTAACTACTATTTTATATGCAACAGTTAATTTTTTGTTTATAAATTGAAAATTGAATTTACTTATCAGTTAGCTTGCGGCAGTCAACATCACCAATCACATAGCAAGCAGCTTGTTGATGCTTACCTCACACAGTTTCATCACCGCTAATTGGTGCATAGCTATCGATATGCGCTTGCATCGATATAAACAAAAGCAGCTCTAATATTTGCATCGACGCCAATTGTGACGACACAAACAAGCAACTAAAAATTAAAAACACAAATGTAAAAGTCAAACAAAAAATTAATTGGCTATTCATTCCAAAATGAGTGCCTACAATCGTAAAGTATTTAAAAAACACTGCTTCGGCAGAAAATCTCTTGATGCGGACAGTGCAATGGAAGAATCGGGCTACGCATCCTTCAGAGTGCTGCACAACTCAACCGTGGAGGCGCCATTTTTATTTGAACGTGATAGCGAGTCGGAGAACTGCCGCAACGCATCGAATACAACACATTCACACTTCAATTCGATACAATTCCAAACGCCGGATAGCAGCAACTGCAACGATTCCAATTCCACACTTTGGCACAAATCGTTTAGCCTGCCCGCCGTCAGCTGCGTGCAACTGGAGGAGAGCGAGGATGAGGATGCTCAGTCATGCAAGTCACCGCTGCTGCAGTTTTCCAATCAACTACAATGTGCGGGCAAACGCCGCAAATCACATTACCAGCCTATGGCTCATCACAGTAGTCCCAAAAAGTCGAAGAGAAACCTCTTTCCACAGCCACCTCAGGATTCCCTTTGTCGCACCCGCTATTATGACGGCTGCGAACACCTGGACATCGTGGGCATGCTCAGCAATACGCTGCCCGCGCTAGAATGCATTCTGTCCCACGTCAGCTCACACACACTGGACGACATGACCAAGGTGTCGAAGCGCTGGGCGCAAACGGTGCTCAAGAGTCAGCGGGCAACGGAGCGTCTGCACAATCATCGCTTTAAGATGAACCTCACCAAGGAGAACACCGCACAGCCCCTGAAGCATGGACGAATGATGTCCAAGAACTCGAATAACAATTTAGTGCCATTTCAACCATCCAATGCCATTCGGAGACCAAACAAACAAGATAGCCATAAGATCGAGCCCAAAGATGAGAACTGCCCGCTGGTGGAGCAGGTGCAACGCATCAAGTGTCCACGTTGCGGCAAGTCCAGCAAAGTATTCTACAGCAAGACACCCGCTGAGCAAACGCCGAAATTGAATCGTCAGCTGCTATCCCGAGCTGCCCTTTCAAATACATTGCCACATGCCAAGTCCTTTAACGAGCCAAAGACGGGGCTCATCCGCTTCTATTCGCTGGACGAGGTGAAGAGTTCGCCGATCGGGCAGGCCAACGGACCCTCTCAACCCTACTCCATAGGCGAATGCACCAGCGTCTTTTGCAAGTTCCGTTTCTGCGTCCACTGCTGCTGCCCGCCGCATCCTGGCGAAAAATGTTTGGTCACAGAGATGGGCACGCCCTCGAAAGTGATGATGCCCAGTGAGAATATTACGCCGCCCAAGCGCAATCAAAAATTCGACTATAAACTGAGTCGTAAGAATTCGCTGAAGCGCTTAAACTTTTAAGCAGAGAGCAGAAGAACATCGAACAAAAAGCATTAAAAAACAAATATCTGTATTTTTAGTCTTAGTTATATGAACATTCAACTGTACCAAGGTTTTTGTTTTAAATGTTTAACTAGTATTATAATCGTCGACATCGCATCAACTTAGAATGTTCACATTTTTAATGTCATCAAACTTTATTATTATTTTGTATTTCTCTTCATTTGTAACGTATGCTCAACATTCTTGTACCTCTGTGAGATTAAATAGACGTAAGACACTTTTTACATTATTTGATATATATATAAAATAAACAGTTTTTGTAAAAGATATACCTAATTAGCTACGTAGTTTTTATCTTATTAGAAATTGGGAAAGAGCTGAGCTTATAAATTGCTTCTGATTTAGACTTAACAAACTTTCAAGTATCTACCTTAATCACTACTTCAGTATTTAGAACTAGGTGTCATTAGAGCATAAAAGTCAGCTGTGACGTCATATCGTATTACTTTTAAGTTATCGATACACCACTCGATGATTGCATTCGTCTACACGCTTATCGATATACATATTTTATTAGTAACCGCCGAAGCACGTGTGAAATAGTTGCACATTTTAAGTTTATTTTCAAGTGTTTCTACACACAAAAAGGAGCTTAAGAAAATGGCAACATCTTTGGCTCAACAACTACAAAAGTTGGCTGCACCGCAGACATCTCTTCCTATAGCGGATGCACGCAGTCGTGCCTCAATATTATTCAGTCCAAAAGAAGCAGCGACTAAAGATAGGCGAGCTATCTATGAAATCGGACTCAGTGGATTGCTGGAGCTAACGGCGTTTAACCCGACATTCAAGGAGTTCCAGCTGACGCTCTTCGATGAGGCCACACTCACGTTAGAGCGCGCTGTCGAGCAGTCAGATGTCAACAAGTTGATCGATGCGGCTATTGCAAAATTTCTGCGTCTATTGTCGCCATATTTTCTGTTGCGCCCGGCGCATATGTGCTTTGAGTGGCTGTTGCGCCGTTTCCAGGTGCACGAGTACAACCGACAGGAGGTAATGGCCCTGATAATGCCCTACCATGAGACAAACACATTTGTGCAGGTGCTGCAGACGATGCGATTGCGTCAATCGGACGAGGATTGGTTCTGGCTGCGTCCCCTGCAACGACCCGGCGTTCCGCTCTCCAAAACCACAATAGTTAATCGTGCATCGAGCGTGCCCGCCTTCCTTAGCTTCATCTGCCGCAGCACACGCAAAGCTGTCAAGGAGCTCGGACCGCGCGCTCATCAGCTGCAAGCGCAGCTAAATTTCTATGCCACTGTTGTTGTGGGTGCTCTGCAAACGGCCAAGCCGCTACAGGATTGGCATATTGGCACCATATTAGAGACGCTGCTGAAGGGTCTCGTCTCGGACACTGTAGACTATGTGGCTGCCTCCTATGTGATTGTGGCCCAACTCGTCTCGCGTACCAAGCTCAAGACAAAAGTCTGTGATGCGCTACTCGAGCGGGTGGCCAACTGCACCTTCGAGCGTCTGCATACAACTGCGCTGCTGCTGCTCATCTGGATACACGACAAACAGCAGGCAGCTTGCCCACAATTCACGCCAAAAACCATGTTGAATCTGGTCTGCCAGAAGTGGTTAATCACTTCGCTGGCCTCGCTCGCCAAGGAGAATATTGCTATTTCAGCGATTTGCATGCCACTAATGCGTGGCGCCGTTGCGGCTATACGAGAGGGCGATGCGTCCGCATCTTCACATCAGGAGTTCCTTGACAATCTCATCAGCGAGGTGCCCTTCTCCAAGCTCAGCGCACAACAGCTAATCAAGTAGATCTTTAATTGACCCTCCACAATTTTAGTTATTTACGTGCTCTATTTCAGTTGCTTCCTGGACACTTATGTAGACATGGAAACTGAGAATGGACCGGAATCAATGGACACAACCACCAATGACAATGAGGACGATACTATTATCATTGACTCTGATGATGAAATGGAGCCGATCAAAAACAATTTCCAGACTTGGTATACAGAGTTTCTGGAGAAGCTCGAACGTCGCTATCCGGAAGCATTCGATTTGAGCGTCAAGGCATCTTTGAGGGCCAAATCCAAGACTAGCAATCGACAGAAGGCTTTAAAACTGGCATTGGGTGAGTCATAAGACAAATACTTCAATATTTTGGGACCAGTCTAACCTGAGCCTCGCCTCTCTTGTTAAATCAAACCATTATCTAATTGCCGCTCTTCCACAGGCTTTCGATTAAACACCACGGACGAGAAGGCGAAACGTGCCTATGAAAAGCTCTATCATTACAGTTCTGATTTTCGACTAGGCGCTGTGCAGCAGCTGCTGCAGAACTTGAAGGTGCCCAAGAAGCGTGAGCGCAGCTATTGCCTACTGCAGGAGTGTCTGCCTGATCGTATTAAAGACGACAGTCCCGCTGTGGTATCGGCGCTACTGGTGCTGCCCACCGTTGACTTTGTGGAGATGCTGGGCGCTGAGCCATTTGCCCAGACGCTGTGTGAGCTGTTGCATCGAGCGCAGCAGCAGCGACAAACGCAGTGGGATTCGGTGGTGCCGCAAGCGGTGCAGCATCTAACCACAGCCGCTGTGAGCGATAATTATGATACGAACCTGTTGCTCTTGGCACTGATGCCCTATCTGTTTCCCTGCGATGCATTGAGCCCCAGGGAGCATGCCGCTTTGCTAATTATATTGAGCAGTAATTTTGTGAGCAAGCTGCCCTTCCTGGAGCAGCTGAACGTGAGCAGCGAGCATGGAGAGTTCAATGTGTGGGAACATCGTAAACAGTTTCTGGACGTCATTGCCGACGTTCGGCAGCCGGGCAAGCAGCAACTGGCGCTGCTCGAGAGTGTGGAGCAGCACGGTGGCGTTGACTATCTGCGCAGCGAGGCGTCCAAGCTGACGCATTTACTGCTGCTGCTCACAGCCTATGCAAAGCGTGAACTGAGCGCAGCCGAGAGTCTGCACATGCTGCAGCGCTTGGACGTCTTCAGTCGCGGCTTTCAGTTTCGTTTAGCCAAGGAGGGAAGCGACAACAGCCACAAAAATTTTGTGCCATTGCAGCTATACGTTGACTTTTTACAAACGCTAGCCAAGAATACAAAGTTCTCTGAATTGGCCAATCTGCCGTGGACACAGGTCAATGAAGAACTGCGTCTGTGCTTGCTGCTGTTAGACGCGCTGTGCAGTCGAGTCTATGCCGAAAACTGTCCGCCAGCTGAGCGCAGGGAGTGGACGCGTGCGCTCAAGAATTGTCTCAATCATATGCTGCCGGAGGCACAGGAAAAACTGGAATTCCTCTGCAATTTCTATGTCTATGAGGAGCTACCTCAGCTGTACAGCAACGCCTCTGACTATGCACTTCTACGCGTGCGAGGCTTTCAGCTGCTGCAGGCAGTGCTGCGACCACGTCCATTTGCAGTCAACTGCAGCTTGATGCATGTGCTGCGCATTGCCAATGCCTGCAACTCGCCGTTGCAAACATTGCGCCAGCAGGCGATAGCCACTCTGCAACTGATCGAACTTAAGGAGCTGGAAACGCACGTAGCGCATCTAGTGCAGTGTCTGCTGCTCCGCCAGAGCGAACTGTGCATGGATCACGAGCAATACGCGCTCATACTGCACACCATTCTACAGAGCAGCAAGAGCACTCCGCGCGAGAAGATGCTGCTGGTAAAGCTGCGGCGCACACTGCTAGAGCTGGTCTGCGATGTCACACAGCCGGCCATTTGTACGGCGGCGCTGCTGAAGGCGCTGAAGCACATGAACAATGAGACACTGCTGACGGCGCTGCTGCCATTAGGCGAGGCAGCACTGCAGGCGGTAGTCAAACATGATCACAGCTCGGATACACCACAGCTGGAGCAGCTAAATTGGCCACATAGCGACATCTATTGCGCTGTCATCGAACGCTTCGAAGGAGCTGCGGGATTAGCTGTGCTCGGACAGAAGCCTGCCGCCTGGCAGCTGCTGGAGGCTAGCTTCAAGCGCTACACCACCTACGTGCAGCTAGAACAGAAACTGCAGCCGCTGCCCTGTGTCCTGCTGAACTCGTTGACGCCGGAGTCCTACGAGCGGCTGCAGAGCCAGCACAAGGTGGCGCTAATGCAGCTTATAGTGGAAGCAGCGACTGCATCCGACAACGATAGCATCTTCCTATCTGCCCATCGTCTGCTCAAGCGCTGCACCATCCAGTGCAAGCCCCTGGTCAGCATGTTGTCCAGCATGTGCAGCAAGAGCACGCGCATTGTGGCGCCCAAGCAACCGGAACGTCGACGTGACGCACCGAATACCAAGCTGGACTTAACTTGCGTCACCTGGAAGCAGGGCATGACGCTGCTCGAGCTGCTGGAGCACAAAAATCAACTGGTTGGCGCCGAGCTACTCATACCTCAGCTCTTCGAACTGCTGCAGCTGTGCCTGACGCTGGAGGAGCACAGCTCAGCGGAGTATCCCAAACAGCTAATCCTATCCAGCCTGTTGCACTGCTGCGATGTGTCGCAGGCAGCTGGTGTGGAGCTGTCCAAGGTGCTGCCTGAATCCTGTTTCCGCATCGAGCAGGTGGTGCTGTGCCTGCGCAACACACAGAATCCGCAAACGCAACAGCATGCGCTGCTCTTCTTGACCCGCTGCGCTGCACTGTATCCCCAGCAAGTGCTGCACAAGATTGTCGAGATATTCACCTTTGTGGGCTCCACAGTGGCGCGCCACGATGACGCCTTCAGTCTGCACATCATCAGGAATGTTGTGGAGACTATTGTGCCCACTCTGCTGCTGCAGTCGGGCGAGCAGGGTGAGCGCCTGGTCATAGCCGTGTTGAAGGTGTTTGCGGTCATTTGCACAGATGTGCCAGTTCATCGTCGTCTGCCGCTCTACGAGACGCTCTTTCGAGTGCTCGATCCGCGCCAGCATCTCTGGCAATTCCTTTGCATTGTCTTCGAATCGCAAATGCTGCTGGAGCAGGCGCCAGTCAAAGCCGGCAGCAAGACGGCCAAGCCGCTGGACAAGACGCGCGTGGAGTTTGCTCGTGAGTTGACGCTGATGTTTGAGCAACCCGAGGTTATATTGAATACGTGTGCGCATCTGCTCGACTATCTGACCAAGCTGCCCATCAGCAAAGAGTCGCAAACCAAAGCAGCCAGCGGAGCTAGCAGCAATGTCTCACCAGAGCAACAGCTCTTCGATCTGCGCTCGCGCAGCTTCAAGCAGCTGCGACACTACAAATACCTCATCATGGATTACCTGTCGGGACTGAGCAGCTCCGCTGAGTTCCAGGCCAAGGTGGGCAGCACTAAGAAGTCCCAGCTGACTGAGCTGAAACCGCTCTACCAGGACTTCATACTCAAGACGCTTGCCTATGTGGGCGTAGTCAACAATGCGCTCAAGTTGGCAGCGGGCACGCCCTCGCTGGAGAAGTATTGGCGTGTGCTGGCTAACCATGTGCACGATGTGCTGGACAATGCCATCGGTCTGCTCTCGCCCGCATACTTCCTCAATGTGATCACCGAGCTGCTGCAGCACGAGCTTATCTATGTGCGCATCAAGGTGCTCGAGCTGCTGGTCACCAAGCTGTCCCCGCCCGCCGACTACTTTACCCAGTGCCATGTGCAGCATTTCGGCATGCTTTTCGAGCCACTGGGCGCCATCATTGACGGCGTGCTGGATAACACAGGCGGCAGCAATGCGCAGCAGGCTCAGCTGCAGCAGTCGGCACTGCATGCCATGCAGCTGCTGGCCCATTATCATGGACGCGAATATGTCGAGGAATGTCGCACGCTGCTGGCCAAGCTGACGCGCATCGCCAAGCGACGCGCCAATGTGCCCAAGGCTGTGATCGGCAATGTGGTGCTGACGCTCGTCGAAATCTGTGGCAGCATCAAGGCGCACGCGCTTGCCCAGCTGCCCAAGTTTGCTCCACAGTTGACCGAACTGCTCAAGGAGCAGGTCCAAATGCTGCTCACCCAACGGCAGACACCCGACTATGTCTGCTCTGCTCTGGTCACTGGTAAGTCTTCAATACCAATCCTTATCTTAGCATCAAAAAAAGCTTAAATCTTTCCACTTAAAGCGATGCACAAGCTCTTCCTGACGCTGCCTCTGTTCCTGGGTCCCTACTTGGTGGACATTATTGGCGCCCTAATAAGACTCTCCGTGCAGCTGGAGAGCCCGCAACTGTTGCAGGACAAGCGCACGCAGGCGCTCAAGCTGCGCATCGTAGACGTGTGGACGGCGGTGGCGCAGGGTGTTGAGGCGCGTATTCTGGTGCCCAGCTGCGCCAAGACCTATGCTAGTCTGTTGGAAGCGCAAGCCTACGATGAGCTGGGCATGCTTATGCATCAACTACTGCTACCCTGCATCAAGCACAATGGAAACGCTGAACTGGCGCCTGTACAAGAGGCGCTCGCCGAGCTGTTCCTCCAGGCGCTCGAGTTCCGGCTGCAGGTGCGCGGACGTCAGCTGCAGCGGCAGCGCGTGGCGCAAATTGAGGCGTCCGTGAGTGAGACTTTCGTTGCCTGGATACTCAAGCTGTCCGAGACGAGTTTCCGGCCCATGTACGGCAGGGTGCACAAGTGGGCAATGGAGCGGAGTGATCTGGAGCCGCAGCTTACCTATTTCCTGTTGACTAATCGCATTGCCGCAGCGCTCAAGTCTCTGTTCGTGCTCTTCGCCGGCGACTTTATCACGGATGCTGCTCGACTGCTGCAGGAGCACAACACATTGCACCAGGAGGTCTCAGATGGTGTGGACGTGGAGGACATTGTCGAACTGCTGGCTGCTATACTCAGCACACTGCATCACGTCTTCCTGCACTGCAGCAATGACTTTATCAACGATCATCGCTTCCACACGCTGATGCCCCCACTCGTAGATCAGCTGGAGAACAGCTTGGTGCTGGCCAGCGATCGCGAGCAGCTGCAGCAAACGCTGAGCGACTGCATTGCCCAGCTGGCCGCTGCTACCAACGATGTGCTATGGAAGCAGCTCAACAATCAGGTGCTGCTCAAGACGCGCACCAGCACGCCCGAAGTACGCATCCTGGCCTTCAACACCAGCGTGGCCATTGCTCGCAAGCTGGGCGAAAGCTTTGCCCCGCTGCTGCCCGAGACTGTGCCATTTATAGCCGAACTCCTGGAAGATGAGCACGAGCGTGTCGAGAAGAACACACGCAGCGCTGTGCAGGAATTGGAAACGATTCTGGGCGAATCGGTGCAGAAATATTTATAAGCTCAACTTAATGCCGACATCTCTGGTAATACTTCTTGAGTTGTATACAAAAACTTCTTTGTACGCAAAGATCTTTTAACTGAATTACCTGAAATACGGTAAATTTACAGAGCATCTAACTCTTATTAATATATGATTTATAATTTTATTCAAAGACACGTAAATAAAGTATTTTTGCAAAAGATTTAAGTAGATCGACGTCATTTATACATAAATAGTACATACCTGTAAATTTAACCATGAGCAGCAGATTTTTAAATAAACAAGTAAGAAAGCTCTAGTCGGGGTGCCCGACTAGGAGATACCCTGATCCCAGTCCTTTGAGTTTTTTAATATTTTCCTTATCGAGTATTAAAAGAAAAGAAAACAAATAAAAATCGACATTGTGAGACCAGGTTTCGAACCCGGATTATTTGCGCAACGTGCACAAACTCTACCAACACCGCCACTTCATAATTAAAAAAAAAAATAAAACAATAAAAAATTGTTCGTCCCCACTGGTCTCGAACCGGGACCAATCTGCATACGAGCCTCGCCTCTACTAACGCAGCCACTGCCCTTCTTACGCTAGACGTTGCAAATTTGAACATAAGTAGCAGCTAATAATTCAGCTCAATTCAATCGCAATTTCAATTCTTGGAATAGAAAAGAATACACGCATTTGAATGTATGTGTGCACACGCATAGGAAAAATGCGTGCGCGTGGCGCTGCTGACATGTGCTTTTGCAAATTGACCAAACGTTTTGTTTAATAACTTCTGTTTTACTTAATGGATTTTAATGAAATTTTCAGCATATGATCTACATATCCTATTGGCTTGGTTGAGATGCAAACGTCTTCACATAATGGCCCTAGTTCCAACTAAACTTGAATTCTAAGAATTTGGGGGAATTTGGAGCCGGTATCCAAAATCCAACAAAAATCAAAATTGCATAAAATATACATAAGACTAAATACAAAATTTGGAGGCTCTAGCTCTTAAGACGTTCGAGATATAATTTATTTATTGCATTTCAATAATGTTTTTATTCGATAACAATTAAATGCGAATAGTTATCGAATATTTGAAACAAACTTGACCTGCGCGTGCTATATACGGACCTACAAAAAAAATTTCTTATAGATGCTGAGATCCACGCGTTCACACATACGGACAGACGGACAGACGGACAGACGGACAGACGGACGGACAGACAGACGGACAGGGCTCAATCGACTCGGCTTGTCATCCTGATCAAGAATATATATACTTTATGGGGTCTGCCACGCCTCCTTCTGCCTGTTACATACATTTGCACAAAACCATTATACCCTGATTTCCCATTTTTAATGGGATCAGGGTATAAAAATATAATTAATTGTGCAATTGCATGAAACAGATTCGGTTTAGGAAAAAATATTCTAGTATATCAATAATAGATTTTCATTTTCAGCAATTATCTCAATCACTTTAATGATCTTTAATGTGAGCGGTAAGCGAGCTGAACCGTTCGACTGTTGTTATATAGCAAAATAAACAAAAGACCATAAAATATTTTAATAGTGAATTGCAGCAGGTTTTCACTGTGTCTCCCCACCTGTGTCATGTGATGCGAATCCATTAGCTAAACTTGCCTGAGAAGTGTTCTCAGTTACCAAAAATCAAGCAAGCCAATTTTAATAATTAAAAAATCTTAGCTGATCCTGATATCAATTTAAGCTAAATTAATGCTGCACTTATAGAATAATTGGGGCTATCATAATAGGTATTCTGCTCACATTTCTTTAGTCTCATTAATAAAATTTAGATTCTGAAATCAGACAAGCAAACAATTTGTTTGCTTTAACTATCTTCACAATCTAAAATTCATGTTTGATTTATGAGTGCGCAAATGAATCAAATAAATCCTTGGAAAACTACACATAAATCAGATATATTTTAGTTGACAAGACTTTTACCTAAAGAAAAATAAATAATTGTGTTTATGGCTTTAAGCAGTTGGCCCTTTGGAGAGCGAAAAAGTATCTAGCCTCAGTCAGGGCAGCTTGTGATGCGAGGGGAGGCGAAGCGAGTCTCAGTCATAATCAAGTTAAAAGCTCTTCATATTGAGTCGAAGTGAATAGATTCTGAATCTTTGATTATTTTGACAGATTTTGCAGTTTGAAATAAATAAAAATCATTTTATGGAACTTTGATTAGGACACACTTATTCACTATTCTATAAACTCTATAATAGATAATATATATTTTACTTGTAACTCGTATAACCTACTATAAATTTATTATGTATTTTGTTCTGTTCTAAATTTACTGGTATATTATATATAATTATTTGCCAAATCGAGATTGCAACTCGTATAGATCCATAGAGATTTCTAATCTGCTTGCCTTTTGAATCAGGTAAGCTTTAACAGGTGGAAGCTGGCCTTAGCCAAAGTCAAGTTAAGATTGCCAGATATATGATTACAGATCATATGATGCCAGATATATGATTACAGATCATATGATTGCCATAGATCTAAGTTACATTTGTAGTACCAAATATTTTAAACAAGATAAGGACAACTTTAATTACTTTTTGGTTGTTATTGTACAAAGTGAAAGCGAGAATTGTGACTACAATTTAACAATAACAACATTATCCCAAATTAATTGTTGCAAATATATGAAAAGTTGGGATGCTGTGAGTTGTTTTGGGTATTATCTTGGGTTTGTTTGTCCTCTGGTATCTCTGGATCCTCACGCTCCTCCTCCTCATCGATAATACTGATGTCGCGTATGGAGGGACGACGCCAGCCCGTCAGATTTTGCTGCATCTGTTTCGTCTTGGTTAACATTCTGGGTCCAGTTACAGAGATGAGGATCGCGCCCAGCGGCGCCGTCAGCAAAATGCTGAAAATGCAAATGGTTTGCACGATTTTGGCCCAGCTGCGCTCGTCGTCTGTGGACTTATCGTTAAGGTGCCTCAGAGCAACCGGTCCCAGGGCGGCCTGCACCGTCGCCTTGGCCATCCAGGAAAGGCCCACAAAGAACTTCTCCCTGGTGTTGAGGCGATCGCCGATGGCAATGCCGGCCGTGACAAGGATGCGTATGATGACGCCGGAGAATATGCACAGGGCACCGATGTAGAGCAGATTCGGGTCCAGCTCACGCAGCTTAATCGTGGCGCCCGTCACGCCAAACAGAATGGGCTCGAAGATCATCCAGAAGATCTCGAAGCCAGTGCCCACGGGATTGTCGTCGATGGTCCAGCCATCCTTGCACCAGTAGTAGTTCGATATGAAAGATGAGAAGACTACGCCCAGCGGACCAGCACCCTCGAAGCCCAGCTTCTCGCTGCCATAGATGGCCACCAGGTTGCCAATGAAGAGTAACAGCGTGCGAAGAGGCACAACATAGGCGTCGCCCTTCTCCGGAAAGATGCGCGCCAGCAGCCCCCAGATGAGGCCAAAGCCCAGGCCGCCAATCAGACAAACAGGCACCTGGGCAATCAGGTAGAGTTGTCCACGATCCGAGAACATGATTGTGCTGATGATGCCAAAAATAGCCACCGAAATGGCATCGTCCACCCCAGACACGGCCACCACCAAGGTGGGTATGCCCTTGGCCACGCCATAGCCCTTGGTGCGCAGCCTAAACAGGCAGGGCACGACCACAGCTGGAGCAATGGCCGCCATAATGGCGCCCAGCATACAGCCCCAGATCCAAGGCAGGCCGAGTAAATAGTGCGACATGGTCGCCAGGACGCCAAACTCCACGAACCAAGGCACAATGCCCAGCTTGAGAATCGTTTTGTAGACCTTCTTGAAGGCTTCCGGCTCCATTTCGAGGCCAGCTCGAGTCAAAATTATGGTGAGCGCAAACTTGCGCAGATGCGCCGTCACCTTGGAGAAGTCGCCATCGAGATCCACCCAGCCGACGTTCTGCAAGCACAAAGGTAGTATGAAGCTAGGATTACAGATGGACACGGATGAGCACTCACCTGAAAGAGCAGGCCCACCAGCAGCATACCAATGAGGCGCGGCAGCGTGGCCAGCGATATGAGATAGCCACCAAAGTTGGCAGCCACGGTCAGCACCACCAGATCGAAAAGCTGCCCGCCAGGGGCAGCCGAGTGTCCAATGATCACAAATGAGACGATCCAGAGTAACGCACCTGCACGACGGATTGATGTAGATGCGGATAGAGACTTGGTAAAGAAAGTGCGTGATCCTTACCAATTGCAATGAGCGAAACCAGGCGGGAGAATGTCCTGAAGGTGGGGCAGAGCGGATAGGGAAATACCTTTTGCCAGAAAGGTGGCTCCCAAGATTCGGATGGTTCCTCTTTGCGGCACTTTAAGCAGAAATTATAGATCCATGATTGCTCCACGTAATGGCCACTGCCATTCCGTGAGTCGTTTACTGCCTGCAGATTATTGTATTTGGCATTAAGCACGTCCAGCGCACTCTGTCTGTAGTTTTCTAGGGAAGGGAAGATATCAAATTGTATATATATGAGTATTACATTCAACGCGCAACGCCGGGTAACATCCATATCAGAGCTGTTCACTACCATATTGACTTCAGGAATTAGCAAGCCAATCTAATAATAATACGATCGGAGATAAAAATTGCTACGTCACTTTCTGGCCGATGTTAATTGCTCGTGTCAACTATTGACAGATGTCAAATTTAATTGACATTAGTTCCATAAGTGTTCTTTGGCCCTGAATAGATATTTCTAATTATCAATACCATCATTATTACTATCATCAATATTATTGTCTGCCCAAACAATGGTCTGTGGCTTGATTCAATGAAACATTTCAGAATATTCTCAGCCGAAATTCATGCAGCTCAGAGTATTTCAGCTGTGCCAATATTTTAAATTCCAAATATATCATTTTACGAAATTACTATCACGTGCTCTTAGCTCTGATGCTTGGGTCATTTCTTATATTTATGTTTTTTTTTTTTTAATTTCTCAGAAACAATATTTACGCATCTATAATTAATAATTGCATAGTTAAGAATTCTTACAGGCATTTTCTATATTTTATATATTTTAAATAATATTTAATTTAATGAAAATTATAATTGATAAAAGAGAATTTTATTATTATTATTTATATTTAATTTTAATAAATTTTTAGCCATACCATTGAAATTGTATAGTTAAGGGTATATTAGACTAGCGCGAAATAGCTAAGCAGTTCAACAAGGAAGCTCAGGCTGAACAGCCCAACTAGCTATGAGTCTATATAAATCCTAAATATATCTCAAAATTCTAAAACAATTTTTAATTTAACTGAGTACAGGGTATCTGCGTTCAAACTTTTTTTGGCCGCCCTTAATTGCTTAAGGCAAACAAACTAATTAAAGCTTTAGACATTAATTCTCCGACGTGACGAGAACCTTAACACAAATATGAATCACATTTTAGGCCATTGACGAGATGCTATCAGATCTTTACAGCCTTGTCCATATTTTTAAAGACGATTTTTTAGCACTAGGCTGGCAGTTAAAATTTGATTAATCAATAAAAAAGAAGTAGAAAAGTCTATAAAAATACACTAAAATTATTGATTAAAAAAGAATTGAACAATAAAAATTATTGCATAAAATTTAACTGCTTAAAAATGAGAAAAACATTTAAAAAATTAAAAAAATTATAAAAATATTAAAAATATAAATGAAATATGCCTCGTTATGAACACTCTTTCCCATACACTTATCTTACACTTACCATAACTGTGCGTCGATACACGATCAACGCTGTCATTGTCGTGAGGAAGCGGGGAGTCCTTAAGGATGCTTCTCCTGCGCCCTGGCGGTCCGTTGTCGAGGTATGATTGTGTTGAGGCCTGTGCCGAAATTGAAATCGAAATTATTTTTCATATTAGTTGAGATTGCGCGTAATCCCCAGTCACTTGATCACTTGATCACTTGATCACTTGATCGCAATGATCATTTCAACAATTACGCGCATCATTATAAATGTCGTCATTCAATAAATGCACTCACACATATAATATATATAGAAATGTTTTGAGCACTCGCCTCTGATCACATTCAATCAAATTTACGATCAATCAACAAGTCGTTAATCGTTCAACCCCAACTCACCTGCGATATTTTTCGCATATGGGCTGGCTCGAAGGCGGGATTATCAAAGCCAGAGTTATTGGCTGCCAGCGTTGGAGATTCGGAGACAATGCTGACGCGGCGCTTGGGCTGGCTCTCGATGACAATTGTGCTCTTGTGATTGGGCGATGGGGTCTGGCCCTCGGCGGGCGGCACCACAGGCGTTGGCACATTGATGGCCAGCGTTGTGGGTCGCTGGCCTGTGGTTGTAGGCGTCGTTGCCGCCGGGCTGCCCTCATCTGCCTTGGTCGTCATCGTTTTATGACTCTGCAGAAGGAGTTTGGTTAGTTGGGCTTAAATGCAGCTTGACTTCAATGGGCTTAGGGGTCTATTGAGTCCGCTTACTATATACATCACACATAGACACTCGACACTCGGCGCGATTATCGATTGTTGTGCGAAACGCGAACTTTACGACCAGCTCGTTCCGCGTTTAGCGTGCAAATAAATCCATCAGCGAATGCGACAATCGGTTCTGAGCTCGGCTTTTCGACCGGCTTACGGACATTTTGTGGGCTCGATGGTACCAGCTGTGCGTGTGTCTGTGTGCATCAGTCTGTGGTAGGTGTGAAACGTGTTAAAGCCTAATGTAAACATTTATGATTTTATACAGACAACAAACAAAACTTATTCGAAAAAATTGTTAATAATTAGCTATAATTTGTTAACACCTTTTCGAAAAAAAAAAAACGATGAAAAAACTGGAAAACTGAGAAAACCAGTGCATGGGCTCGAACAGCGCAGGTGAGCCTCGTCGAGCAGTTGTCGGTTTTTGACTTTTGATCGGTTTGTTTGTCATTTAATTGTGACGCATTTTATCTAAACAAATTCACGTGAGCGCCCCGCAGACAATCGTCTCATAATAACGAGGCTGAATTAATTATTTAATGAAATTTGTTACTGTATCGCCTCTGTTTTCTATATCTTTTTTTGTTCAATTTTGTTTTTTATTTTTGTGGTATTTTGTGTTGTAATTTGTATTGCAGTGATGCTTGCTGTGATACCCTGTAGGAAATATAAAAGAAAATTCTTTTATTAATATTAAAGTTTATAGTGGACTGAAGACATAATAAGAGAGCGAGCAAAAATATATGTATTTAATTTTATATTTAATAAATATATTTTACATATTGAAAGTCTACATCATATGTAGTTTACTCATTAAAAATATCACTATACAATATATATATTTATATTTATATAAAAATAAAAAATATGACTAAAAATATATAACATTTAAAAAAACATAATATTTATCTTTCTGAAGTGCTTTGCTTGAAATCTTCATATATAACTTTAAATGCATTAAAATTTCACTTTAAAGCAAACAAAAATGGAATATTATATTAAAATAAATATAATATCAGATGAAATATCAAAATTAATTTTCTCTCATGCTCAAACCAAAGGAAAGTCTTTCAAATCAGTTTACAGGGTATCTCTAGGCTCACTCTTACTTTCATTTTATTTGTTCTTTATTTTTTTTTGTGACCAGCTGCCGAGAATGTGGCATCAAGTCATGCGGTTCGTTAGAGTTAGATGAAAGCCAACAAAGCAGCGCGCCCCATGTGAACTGGTTGGGCATTTTTTTTTTGGTTTTTTTATTTTTTGTCCCAAGTCACTTAAATCGTTAATTATACATTTTTATTATTTATCTCTGGCGCAATGGTAACTCCGATTATAAGCCCAGAACAGAAAACAAACTCAATTTATTTGTTGTTAACTTTGCACGTCAATTTTGTTCAATAAACATATGATTTAATGTCTGAAATATGCAGCTGTGAAATGGATGTGTTTAGTGCTGAAACAGTTAGTATTATATATGGCTTTTTAACTCTATTTTGGTACTAATTTATGTAAACTATATGGTTAAAATAGCTGACGAATTTCACACACAACAAATTAAAAAATTCCCCAATAATTTAAAATATCAATTTAAGAATAACAAGCGAAAGGCGGTTAAATATTGCGTAATGAATAAATTTGTTGACCATATTTTAAAAACAAAAACAAATGACTAGCCTTTTTGGCTGGAATTTCCTTTTTTTATTTAACATAATTTTTTGGTAAATTATTATTTATTAATCACTTAGTGTGAGTAAACAGGACAAAAGAGCTTTGTCGGGGTGCTAAAAGATCTATATAGCTGATTTAAAAGTGGCTATGTGTTGGCATTTTGAATTATTTATTAAACTGTTTTATTTACATTCCAAAATATACGTGACCAACTCAACTCAAAGTAACTCAAAGCATGAATTTACGACTGAGGCAAATCAAATTCACGTACCAAATCTTTAATTGCGTTTGGGTGGGCTGTGCTCATTCACGTCTAACTAGACAAAAGACCCCTTTTTAACTAGTAGCGCATATATATATAATTTCATAATAATTATTGCGTAGCAAAGCACTTGAATATATATATAAAATAATAATACAATGTTTATTTTTTATAATATTTTGTCTAACAATGACATAAAAATTTCATTAAAAAAAGTATTTAAAATAATTTATTATAAATTCCATAACACTCACTCCATTGTTCAAAATAAAATTAAATATTATTATATAATAATAACATATTAGATTTATTTAATTTAGCTATAATTAGAGATGTCATCATAATTTTTTTGTGTAAATTGAACTTGAAGAAGAACTGAATCTATTCAATGTTTAAAATTTGATAATAATAATTAAAGTCAATTTTAAAATATTATTAAAATAATTCAGTTTACAAATATTGTTTCTTGACAATTATAATTTACTTAATATATGTATTTGCTCACATAAAACAATTCCAGTCACTTGCACCATTTCCATCCGACTCCAAAAAGTATGCTATGCATAATGATGCAGAAGGCAGTGAATTGACTTACACAAAGGGCTACAGCAGGGACACAAACCCAAACTAAAAATGTAAATCTAATAAAAATAGAATTTACAATGAAAATACAAAAGGATTGACGTTAAATCAATTGAAAAATTCAATTTTCGGCCTCGATTGCCAGGCGACGATATAAATTGAAATGTTAGAGAATTGCTAAAACAGCGTGAGCTTTATATATATATATATATATATATATATATATATATATATATATATATATACATATATATATATATATAAATTTAAATGGAAATGTATTTTATACGCATAAGCTTTACGAAATGTAGCTCTTTCAAGTGTATTTACATGGAACTTCGAATAAGGCTTCGACAGCGAATGAAAAGTGAATAAAATAATTTGATTTACAAATTTTTCACATATTTTCCTGGACGGATTATTCCGATTATTATGCACATATATGATAAATATATCCACAAAATTCAGATTCACTTAAAGCCTTCAATTAGTCAATCTATCAATACAAAGTATTTCAATTCACAAAGCTTTATCTTGCAGTCTCAAGTCTCTGCCCACACTCCATAATTATTCTTAGTCCTGAGTTGATGGTTTCCCCTTAGATTCAAAATTCACATGTTCGTTTTCAACTTATTATTATTATGGTATATGGAATGTAAGTCCACTAGGCTAGGGTTTCGTATAATAACAATCAACATTTTATCTTAATCCAACAAGAACTGGAGCCAAGGCAAATCACAAAGGACTCTACTTGTTTGCAGTGTATGACAGATTTGTTAAGTGGGCATTGTTCTGTGTGTTGTTGTCGGTTTCCTTGTCTCTGGGTATCTCGGGATCTTCGCGCTCCTCCTCCTCGTCGATAATACTGATGTCGCGTATGGAGGGACGATGGCTGCGACGCCAGCCGGAGAGCACCTGCGGCTGCTTGGTCTTCGTCAGCATTCGGGTGCCCGTTACGGATATTAGGATGGCACCGAGTGGAGCCGTCAGGACAATGCTAAAGACGCAAATGGTCTGCACAATTTCGGCCCAGGTGCGCTCCTCGTCTGTGGCATCGCTGCTCAGATTCTTCAAGGCGACGGGCCCCAGAGCAGCCTGCACCGTCGCCTTGGCCATCCAAGACAGACCCACAAAGAACTTCTCCTTGGTGTTCAGGCGATCGCCGCAGGCAATGCCGGCCGTAACGAAGATGCGTATGATGACGCCTGTAAAGATGCAGGCCGCTCCAATGGAGACTGTGTGCGAGTCCAGCTCGTCGATTTTGATGGTGGCGCCGGTGAGGCCAAAGAGAATCGGTTCGAAGATCATCCAGAAGATCTCGAAGGCCGTCGAAACCGGATTGTCGTCGACGTCCCAGCCGTCTTTGCACCAGAACAGATTCGATACGAAAGATGAGAACACAACGCCCAACGGTCCAGCGCCCTCAAAGCCCAGCTCCTCACTGCCATAGATGGCCACCAGGTTGCCAGCGAACAGCATGAGCGTGCGAAGCGGCACCACGTAGGCATCGCCCTTCTCGGGAAAGATGCGCGCCACGCAGCCCCAGATGACGCCAAAGGCCAGACCGCCCAATATGCAGACTGGCGCCTGGGCAATCTGATAGCCCACTCCCTTGTCCGAGAACATAATTGTGCTTATAATGCCGAAGATGGCTACGGAGAGAGCATCGTCCACACCGGCCACAGCCACCACCAAGGTGGGTATGCCCTTGACCACGCCGTAGCCCTTGGTGCGCAGCCTGAAGAGGCAGGGCACGACGACAGCCGGTGAGATGGCGGCAATGATGGCACCCAGCAGACAGCCCCACATCCAAGGCAGGTCGAGCAGAAAGTGTGACATAACCGTCATGACAGCTGCCTCCACGATCCACGGCACAATGCCCAGCTTGAGAATGGTCTTGTAGACCTTCTTGAAGGCCTCCGGCTCCATTTCGAGGCCAGCTCGAGTCAGGATTATGGTCAGGGCAAACTTGCGCAAATGCCCAGTAACTTTCGAGAAGTCGCCGTCGAGATCTACCCAACCAACGTTCTGCAAGCATGAAAACAATATGTAAAGATTACAGGTGAATACGGACTGGGACTCACCTGAAAGAGTATGCCCACCAGCAGCATGCCAATGAGCCGCGGCAGGGTGGTCAATGATATTATGTAGCCGCCGAAATTGGCAGCCACTGTCAGCACCACCAGGCTGAAGAGCTGTCCACCCGGCGCAGCTGTGTCCCCAATGATCACAAAGGCTACAATCCAGAGTAGCAGACCTGAGAGAAATACAAATATATATATACAAGGCTATAGAAAGAGTGGGAGAGGGAGAGGAGAGAGGGGTAGAGATCGTTAGCCACTCACCAATCAGAATGAGAACGATGAGACGAGAGAATGTCCTGAAGGTGGGGCAGAGCGGATAGGGAAAGATCTTCTGCCAGAAGGATGGCTCCCACGATTCGCTGGGTTCCTCGCCGCGACACTTCAGGCAGAACGTATAGATCCACGAATCCTCCACATAGTTAGCCCCATTGCCGTCCTGCGATAGGGGCACCTGCTGCTGATGGCCCTGGTACTTGGCATTGAGCACATCCAATGC